GCGTGCGCCGTGCTGCTGAACTCACGTTGCAAACCCAAGTATTTATGCTGAACTATAAATAGTGCGCACAGCCTGTCTCACACTGCGGTGCTCGCTGCCACCCCAGATTCCCAACCAGCTGAACAGTTACAGATCTGTATTTATTTTTTTGTAGAATTCATTGCGTCCGAATCTTTGAGTACAGTTTGAGTACCATCCTTTGAAACAAAGGCATTTTACATTGACAGATAATGTATTTTTATTCTTATGGTTTGTTTTTAAATTTACTTGCAGCAGTCAAGTTAAATAAAACATGTTAGGTGAACCTCTGCCGTCTCTGAGGGGAAGATTACTGTTGTGTGTTTTTACTGACGCTTCTCATTCTAGGGCTGGGGCACATTTAAACCAGAGACTTTCTGCCGCCTTGGTGAATAAAAGAGGGAAAGGGGAGAGAGCACAGCTGCGATTCCGGGGTGTGTGGGTGCACTGGGTGATCTCTCCCATCCTGGGAATACTCAGGAAATGGTTCTCAGTGTCACAGCACCCTGGATCATGTTATTTATTTTAGACAACTATAAATCCCCACACCTGAAACCAGGAGCTTAGAGCATTGTCCAGCTCCTTGAGATAATGTGTTTGGAGTTAAGTAACTGTTAAATTAATTCAGTGGTGAGAAGATCTAGGTCATGATGTGGTAAAGAAACAGCAATTGCCAGAAGCTCGACAAAACAGAGTAGAAATGAGGCAGAAATTTAGACAAACCTGTCAGGAAAGGGGCAGAGCCGCAGTCTTTGAAAGCTCCGATTAAACGGCAGAACCCCTGGTCAAGGCGAGTGCTGGAGGAAAGGGGAGGCACCATCTGCCCCCCCAGCCACAAGGGAGAGCTCAGGAAAAGGCAATTCACAGCGACAGACAGATGGAGGTGTCAGTCACCTCCCCCCCATACAGCACGGGTGCATTTATTTAAGGAGCCGTTCTGAGCAGCTTCACATTTGTTTCTTCCTTGAGACCCGACTAGAACATCATCATAACCACTTCCCTGCAACCTGGGGTGGGAGCTTTGCGGGGAGGGAGGGGAGAGGGCGGATGCGTGACTCGAAAAGAACGAGTGTGGCAGAGAGCAGCGCCAGCCTAACGCTTTATTGTGTTTCGATAGGAAGAACGCGCAGGCAGTCGCGCTATGTTTCACAGTCTTCAGGAATCGTTGTTGTTATAATTAGCGATTGTTCGATCACGTCTGCCGTGGAGAAGTTCTCGTCTGAGCAGAGTCTCTGTACGGGGATCGCCTCGGGCAGGGAGCCACGGGACAGGGACTCCACGATCACCTCGGCCGAGCCCACCTCCAGCTCTGGCGGCGGCTGCAGTGCCACCACCACAGCCTTCTCATCCTCAATGATCAGGTTCCGCAGCTTCCGCTGCCGGGGGTTGTAGTTCTCCACCCGGTCGTGAATCTCCATGTGGCGCCTCAGGTGAGCCTGCAAACAGGAGAGGCACGATGAGGGGCCCGGGGAGGGCCGGCTCCTCCGACACAGCGCGCTCCGCAAGGTTCCCGGAGCGGGGAATGCCTCACCTGCCGCGTGAACTTGTAGCCGCACTCGGTGCACTCGAACTTCCTCACGCCCTTGTGCCGGCGGACGTGGACACGCAGCTGTTCAACAGCTGGGAAGGGAAGCCAGAGCCCTTTGGCGGTGGCACCACGCCGTACGCGCTCGCAGGGACGCTAACCCACCACACGGAGAGGAAGGTGGTTTTTAAAGAGCCGTGCGGAGGCTTGACGCCCTGGCTGTTACCTTTGAACGTCTTCCCGCAGATCTGGCAGAAGTGGGGCCTCCCCTCCTGGTGCCGGCTGGCGATGTGCCTTAGCAGTGGCCCCTTCTCAGTGAAGCGCTGCTCACAGAACTCGCAGCTGAAGGGCCGCTCCCCAGTGTGGGTCCGGTTGTGCTTGTCCAGGCTCGCTGCCGGTCGTGGGAAGAGAGAAAGGGAGAGCTGCAGGCCAGCGGTGCAGCACGTGCCCCCAGCCCGAGGCTCAGGTACAAGCCACGCCACGCAAAGACCGCACATGCACAGTGCGGGGGTTAGGAAAGCTTGGAAGCGGTACGAGCAGCAGCCTGCTGCTCCAGGCTCACTTCTGCTGGGGAAAATCCTCTATTTCCTCCCCATTTGTGCTGTGAAGGAAATGGTGGTAAGGGAACATGCCCTCCTCAGCATTAGCACGAGCTCACAGGAGCATGGATTTGCTTCCCGGGGCGAGCGGGCAGGGGAAGGCAGATTCCGCAGCACAGCTGCTTTCTGGAGGTCCTCGACAGCGGAGCACAGTGCCAGCACTACCAGCCCCCGCCACGCGCCTGGGGGATACCTTGTGTCCTGAAGGTCTTGCCGCAGAGGTGGCACTGGAAGGGCTTCTCGCCCGTGTGCGTGCGCAGGTGCATGTTGAGGTTGGCTTTCTGCGTGAAGGCGTGGTGGCAGAACTCGCAAACGTAGGGCCGCTCGTTCCTGCGGGCAGGGGAAACGTTACCTTCAGCTCTGCCAGCTTCAGCCCCTCAGGTTAGCTGCTGCTCCTTCCCAAAGCTCTTTAATTAAATCCTACTTCAACTTGTCTTAAAACAAAGTATTCTGGAGGCCCACAAACGCTACTCGGCAGCCACGGGCTCCTGAGCTGGAGCCTCCCGCCCCTCGGGTGTTATAACCAGCCCATGAAACAACTAAGGACGAGTGTGGGGACCTGGCGCACAGCTGCCACTTGAAAAACCCAGATTAGCCCGGCTGATGAGCTTCAGTCATCGTCTGTGTTACTATGGTCACACATTCAGAGGAAGTGCCAACAGTCTGCGCGCCCTTTAGGAGAAAAGCAAAATGCTGCTTGGCTCCTCACCACATTTCTGGCAGAAGTTTCAGCCCAGAACCTCAGAGAAAAGGGGTGGTTGCTGCCCTCCGGCCCCATCCTCTCCCCAGGAGCGCTCAGCCGGGCCCTCCGCCAAGGAAGCGCCGCCAGGAGGGCCAGAG